GTACCACAGCTAACATGCACATAAAGAAGGGGACAAATTTTCTGAATACTAAATCATACGACCTTTTTCGTACCACAGCAAACCTTTTTTTTTTAATTTTTTAATTTTTAAAAACAAGGCGCGTTCATCCAATTCATGGAAGGAAAATATAGAAATGCCCTTCGCTAAGTGAAACAAGATCTCTGAGCTATACTAGGAACAAATTGCCAGTTTGAGGAAAGAGGATGCTAAGCTTCTGGAGACGGGTATATTTCTTAAGCAAATGTCTATTAATTAAAGAGAAAATATTTTTCACATACACCTTTGCGTCTTCTGTACAGCTATATTTATTTCTATATATTTATTCTCCTTAAATTTATTCTCCCTTGATTTATTCTCCTTTGGTTTATTCAATTTAATTGTTGGACATGTAAAATTAAAAAAAACTGCGTGGAAATTCCCTTATTAAAAAATATAATGATTCATTTTTTAATAAAAATTATGATATAATGACTTTAAGTTTGAACAATCTTCGAAATGTGGGAGCTAGGGTTGGTGTTTGTAATAAACTAGTGCATAATGGAGGATTGGTAGGAGTGGGAGGAGTGGACGCAGGCCCTTTTTTTTCCTCTCTTTTGTGACTTGCTTTGCTTCGCTTGGAGGACTCTTAAAAGATGTTCTATTGTTCTAATAATATGTATAGATACAAACATATATAGATTATATGCATAGTACCTTTATAAAGCTTTTTGGCTCTTTTGCTTTTAATTTTTTCCTTTTTCCTTTCACGCTTTCTCCTCCGGCCGGCAAGTAAACTATATATACATATATACATATACATACATACATACATACATATATATATATATATATATATATATGAAACGGAAAAGCTTTCTGCATTTTTCTAATTTTAACCATGATGGATAATAATATATATGGGTTTTTGAACTTTAATCCTTGAAGAAGATTAAAATTCAATAAAAATCTGGTGTTAGATTGGATATTGATTTAATAAATATCTTATTTAATGTCATTACATTAAAATTAAAATTATTTATTATTATACAGATTTGAATTCATTATGTTTATTTTACTTCCTCTATACCTAAATGTCCGTATCATAATATATTTTACTAAATTTGTGTACCGAAATGTCTGTACCTAAATATATTGTAGTGAATTAGTGACACATAAGAAAATATGCAAAAATACAAGTGTACCAAAAAATTTCGTACCAAAATACATGATACTAACCTAAATATATTATAATAAATTAGTGTACCGAAATGTCCGTACCTAAACATATTATACTAATTTAGTGTACCGAAATGTTCATACATAAATATATTGTAATGAATTAGTGGCACATAAGAAAATATGTAAAAACATGTGTACCGAAAAATCTTTACAAAAGTATTTTCTTATATAAGATATTTGCCATAATGAGAATTAAAATTTATAGTATTTTCATAAAATTTAATTTTCTGAACATCATAAAATTATAAATAAAAAAGAGAGACATTTAATATGTTGGTATTAAATAGAGTCTAGGGACTAAAATCAATTTTTAATCTTGTATAAGACATTTTTCTAAGCTTCATCTTATTTAAGGATTAAAATCTAGTTTTCTATAATATTATATATGTATATGTGTGTGTGTATATATATCTGAAACGGAAAGCTTTCTGCATTTTTCTAATTATAATCAAGATGGATAATAATATTGTATGTATACATTTGGCAACATTAATTACAAAGCATGCATGCATTATTGAGAGGAGGAACCAAAATCCAAGACCAACCTCCAGAGATCGTCCGATTTGGTTAATATATATATATATATGCTTGTGATTTCTTCAGAAAATCAAATTATAGGATCCTCACTTTTTTTTTTTCTGTACTCTCACATGCATGCATAAACCAAACTGATTTGGTTGACGCTAGTGATGATTTTTTTTCAATAGTACTGGTATTTTTATACGAATATTTTGAGAGTTTTAGTTTATTATTCCTTGAATTATTAGGGAGAAATTAAGCATAATTGTTCCGCTTTTTTGGTTGCATTTTTGTCTACAACTTGGTTTCAGAGCAAAGTTTCAGGAGAATAAAATTAGCCCTCGAGACATGATTATTGCAACTGCAACCAAATGGAGCTCCACTTTCTGTTACCTTTTGGTTTTCCTTTCGATCCTTACTTAGATTGAGTGGATTAGAAGGCATATCAACAAATTTGGTTAAAAGCAAAAGGCATTATATCTTAAGATATTTTTTTAATATATATGTACATATATATTCGTATGTGTGAGATTCATCATATGATTCGTACCAATCAACAGTTGTCAGTCCTTCGCACACAAATTGACTAAGTATTTAATGAAAAATAACACATGAATACATGATTCATGATTTAACTATTTTGGATTGAAAATGAGAGATAAACGGTCTATAATATGAACACGTACGTTGTTTGGAAGTCCTCATCTGAATTGAATGAAGAGAACTAAAAAATTGTGGTTCGTTAGTACATGTTGGTAGATGGTAGTTGCATTTTAATTGAGCAACCGGCTAGAAGTTGCAAATTAATTCATGCATCAAATCTTACTTTTCAATTTATTGTACTTTTTGACGTTTACCTAATCATCAACATTCTTCTTGGTTAATTAACTCCTTTCCTAATAAGAAAAACTAATTGTAAACTATGTATACTCGCCGTATTTTTTTAAGGGAATGATTTATATGAAATCATGGATTCACTATCACATAGTGTTACAGTCTAACTATATATTATTATGTGTAAGTTTCATTCCATATGATAACGTATTATTGATTGGTAAAAAGTGATGGTAATTTCGTTCTTTCTTTTTTTGCATACGTAATTTGCATGCCGACATAGATGTCGTTAGAAATTATCGCACGTGTATTGTTAAGATCACATTTTAGAGTTACAATAAGCGGATTGGTAACATGTCTGGACTACTGAAGAAAAATGTTGTCCAATGTGATCCAAATAATACTAATCTTAAGGTACCTTTTTTAGCATGAATTTCATAAATAGTAATGTTAGGTAGACTAAATTTGATAAACTACATAAAATAGCAATTGATGATTAGATTATTACTTTTTTTTTTTTTGAATACATCAATATTTTCACACTAAGGGGAGGGGGAGTTCGGCAAAGTTACATAATAGGCAACCTAATTTGACATCAAATAATTCGTCATCCACGAGATTCTAACCTAAGACCTCTCACTTCCAAGTGAAGAGGAATACCACCAAACCATAGTACTGAGTAGCGATTGGATTATCACTTTTGAACAAACGATATTATCTACATTAAGGGGTGGGGATTTAGACTAAGTCTTACAATGAGTCAACCATAATAATGTAGTTCAATTTCGTTTTTAGCGAAAATCGAACCTAAAATCTCTCATTTACAAGTAAAGAAGAATATTACCAGATCATTTCATTTATAAATTTAGTTTACGAATTTCGTGCCTAATATTACCTTATACTAATTGTGATCGTAACAATTCCATCAATTAGCCATCAATTAACGTTACTAATTTTAGCCATGCAAAACTTAGGTAGGTTCCAAGTAGCCTTTTATCAAATGATGAGAAGGTGTTAAGCACTTGCATAAAGGCGTAGATTCAAACTCTATTAATTGATGGCTAATTTAAAAAAATATATCGTTTGCAAAAAAAAAAAAATTAAAAATTAAAAAAAAAAAGAGAAAAAACCGAGGTAGGTTGTGTATTGGGGGCAGTCCTAAAAACTGAGTCCTTGATTAACGCAATAACCAAGAGAGATGCTAACTCACGCGCCTAACACAGAAGTGAATAGACTGCCCCAAAACTCAACCAATTTTCTTTTGTTTTTGTTTTTATGTTATTGAGCCAATCGGTTCCTTTAATAGTAAAAGTAAAATTAAAACCTTATACATATTGTTTTGAAACAGAGGATGTATAGAATGATATATAAAGGAAAAAAGACATAATATTTACAAAGTGCAACAAATATATCTACATCCTCTATGATACAATTACCTCTTTATTTAAAGATTTTTACTTTTTTTTTTTTGTCATACTTATTGCTTACATGTACAAACATTCACACTATTTAGAACGGTACTCTAATTTTTCTCCTAAAAAAAGAATCCATGGTATTTAACGTTTGTTGCTGTTCAAGCGATTTATTTATGCAAGTGGGGATGAAAATATGCGAAAAACAAACACAAATGTATCGGCCGATAAAAGGGGAAGCAAACCGTTTCGGGATTGAGTTGAGAATCTTTGTGTCATTAAAAACCTAACGCCCCTACAATTAGCAGCCAAACACACCTTTTAACTCTTTTTTTTTTAATTTTTTTTATACAGTGTTCTAATACTCATACTTGCCGTCAAGAGTTAGAATAAAGACAAATTTAACCATATTATACTAACTTATTGTGGCTTAGTCCACTCCTTTATCCTCTTGGTGTAGTTAACATCGTTTGTTAAAAAAATACTTGTCGTCAAGAGTAAAGCTAAATTAGTTACAGTTGTGTGCTTTCACATCTGAGTTTGAATTTTTCTTTTTACAATTTAAATTCCTTTGATAGACTTTCAGTTTTATAAAAGAGAGTTGCGTGCTTTCACATCTGAGTTTGAATTTTTCTTTTTACAATTTAAATTCCTTTGATGGACTTTCAGTTGTATAAAAGAAGAAATACTAGCCATATTTTTCGATCAAAATTTTAACTACTAAATTTTCGACCAAATCTCGGATGTATTAGTTACCCTGAACATATCAAACATCCCTAATTTCTTGCAAATTAAGAAAGAATACTCAAATGATACATGAGATAAGAAAGTTCCAGAGTTAGGGAATAGTTGGATAATAAAGTTTCGAGTTAGGGAATAGTGAGAGCGAGGGTAAAATTGTGGGGTCCAAAGGCGTTCAAGTGGGACCCACTATCACTTTCTCAGCCTCTATACTCCATTGTTTAAAACCAGCTACAAAGCACTTCATTTGTGCACTCCAAAGAAAACCCCATTATTTCACAGTTTCACACTGAATGCTACTTACACCAGTCTGAAATCCCAGCTCGATAAACACTTGATTTTTATTTTCTCTCCCATTCTTTTCCCTAGAAAGAAAATAAAGAGAAATCTCACACAAAAGGAAAAAAGAAGACAAACCCAGCTGGGTTTTCTTTGTCTCTCTCTGAGTCACCCAAATAAGCATATAATAAAGTGAGCAGAGATACAGAGAAAGAATATTTACACCAAAAAGGCCATTGCTTTGGGTGGTGGTGGTGGAGAGCTCAAGGCTTGAAAAAAAAAAATACATAAAGCTTAAAATTTTCCAAAATTTATGTTTTTATGGGTTTTTTGAGGCTTGTAATGTGGAATGTGGCTGTGCTGCTGCTCGTGTTGCTGGGTTCATGGGTTGGTTCTGTGAGAGCTTCTGTTTCATATGATTCCAAGGCCATTGTGATTAATGGACAGAGAAAGATCCTCATTTCTGGATCTATTCACTACCCAAGAAGTTCCCCTGAGGTATTTTTCACCAAATGTGTTTGCTGGGTAGCTCCAAGTTTCTGTCTTTTCATTTTCTTTCTGTTCTAAATTGCTTTTCTCCATCTGGGCAACTCTGTTTTTTCATCTTTGTTAAATTTAATTTTTTTTGGTTTTTTTTTTTCTTTGCTGTATTGTAAGTGTTGGTTTTTTATTTATTTTATTTTAATTTATTTTATTTTTTGGGTTTTTGCAGATGTGGCCAGATCTTATTCAGAAAGCAAAGGAAGGAGGTCTGGATGTGATTCAGACTTATGTTTTCTGGAATGGGCATGAACCTTCACCTGGCAAAGTAATTGATAGTGGCACCCTTCTGCTTTTGAATGCTTTCTATCTCGGAATGCAAATTACATATTACAATTTTTCCTTAATTTTTTTAATTTTTAATTATTTTGCAGTATTATTTTGAAGACAACTATGATTTGGTCAAGTTTATCAAGCTGGTTCAGCAGGCAGGCCTATATGTTCATCTCAGGATTGGTCCTTATGTTTGTGCTGAATGGAACTTTGGGTAATAATAATTATGTAATTTCTAAAAATGGCAAGATGCCTATTCTCAGTCCAGCTTAATGTTCTGAGATTCTAAGCAGAATTTATTGCTTCATTTTCCAGGGGGTTTCCTGTTTGGCTGAAGTACATTCCTGGTATCCAATTCAGAACAGATAATGGTCCCTTCAAGGTTTGGCATTGCAATTCCGTCTCTTTTTTTTTTTTTTTTTTCATTAAATATATTTGATTTTTTTTTTTCACCGATTTAATTTGTTTTCTGAATTACCATTTTGAAGAATCAAATGCAAAGATTCACAACCAAGATTGTAAATATGATGAAAGCAGAAAGGTTGTTCCAGACTCAAGGTGGTCCTATAATTATGTCCCAGGTAGCCAAACTACACCATTATTGTATTGAATCCAATCTGCTACTTTTTTTTTTTTTTTTTTCCTAGAAATTTTTTTGCTCAAGTTTTCTCATACAATTTGATGAATGGAGATTGTAAACTGAGGAGTAACTTTTGTGTGACAGATTGAAAATGAGTATGGACCGATGGAGTATGAACTCGGTGCACCCGGTAAACAGTACACTGACTGGGCAGCTCAGATGGCTTTGGGGCTCGGCACGGGTGTCCCATGGGTGATGTGCAAACAAGATGATGCCCCTGATCCTATTGTAAGAGTTCCTTGTCATGTTCTGGAGTATATTTGTGGATGGTTATCATGTTATGTTCCCTTTTTCTTTGTGGGGTTTGCTACTAAATAGTGTCTTGACTCCAAGTTGGTCATGGTTTACATGAATAATGATACCTCATTGCACATGGCTAAGCTGTGCTTTCTTTCACTTTATCTCTCTCTCTCTCTCTCTCTCTCTCTCTCTCTCTCGTGTGGCCTTTTTTGTAATGATTGAACGGTGGCCATGCCTTATGTTTAATTGTACTGATGGCCTTTTCATCTTGGGTTGGTGCCACTGGTGCTCTAGCTAAAATTACCGAAAGTCTTTTTTTTATCATTGAGTTCCTGGAAATGTGTTTGATCTGTAGCCTGATTTGCAACTCGATATTTTTGTTGAACGTTTCTGCTATTAAGTATATGTTTTGTCATTTGTCTTAGTGTGACTTGTTATCCCTTGTTAATAATTATTTTACCTCTACAGATTAATGCCTGCAATGGCTTCTACTGTGACTACTTCTCTCCGAACAAGGCATATAAACCAAAGATGTGGACAGAAGCCTGGACTGGCTGGTAAGTTTTCGTGCTTGTCTCCTGTAATAGAACCAATTCCAGATTCTGTACCACCTAAACTAGGCTTATATATAATAAACTGCCTGTGGATATCTTCTGATTATACTTGCCCTGTTTTATTCTGCAGGTATACTGAGTTTGGAGGTGCAGTTCCTTACCGACCGGCTGAGGATTTAGCTTTCTCAGTTGCGAGGTTTATTCAGAAGGGTGGATCATTCATTAATTATTATATGGTAAGGTTATTTTCTAGAGGGTTTCTAATGAAACCGCATTTCTGAAAATGTTAAAAAAATGTAATTTTGCATGTCTTATGATTCCAGTACCACGGAGGAACAAATTTTGGCCGAACTGCTGGAGGTCCTTTCATTGCTACTAGTTATGATTATGATGCTCCTCTTGATGAATACGGTATGTGCAAAGGATTTGAGTTCTAGAAGTTGTTAAACATTTTGACTTTTTGCAGTCTGATATAGACCTTAAGTAGGCAATATTTATTGTTTTCCTTCATTTCTTCTATAGTAAGAAAAGGCTGGAATTAAAACTTTAAATTCTTGGTTCTCTGTGGTAGACCGTAGACGTATCATATTGTCACCAAGCACCCTTTGTCGTGTCAGCCAAGTGCATGCTTGTGTCACTTTCACCATACGACATGAGCCAAGATTTTGCATTTCAGTATAGTAATGATAGTGTCCTACCACATCTGATAACAAGAGATTTATTCACCAAAAAGTGACTGCAAGCAGTGTAGATTCTCTCATCGAAATTCTATCATTAAGTTCCCGCTTTCTCCCTGTATAAAGGCTGTGACTGCCGCATAAGGTTTCTTGGGCCTTTCTCTGAGAAATGATGAATCTCATGACATCTAAACTAACCTTCATTTCTCTGGTAGCTACTAGCATCTGCTGTCCCTAAAGTAGTCGCAAGTTTAAAAACAGCTTAAATAAATTTGTAAGGTTCCATATTTTTGCTTGAATATGAAAAGTGCTGCCTATTTCTTTATGCAGGTCTATTGAGGCAACCTAAATGGGGCCATCTGAAAGATCTGCACAGAGCAATAAAACTGTGTGAACCAGCTCTAGTTTCTGCGGATCCCACTGTACAATCACTTGGCAGATTTCAAGAGGTTAACTACTTAAGATTCTCACTTATTTTGGTTTTCTTCATATTGTTTTGGATGGTAACTAACATGTTACCTGTAATCATACAGGCTCATGTTTTCAAATCAAATTCTGGAGCTTGTTCTGCATTTCTTGCAAATTACAACCCAAGATCATTTGCGAAAGTGGCATTTGGAAATATGCATTACAACCTACCTCCTTGGTCTATTAGCATTCTTCCCGACTGCAAGAACACTGTTTATAATACCGCAAGAGTGAGTATATGAATGTTACCTTGCTGAAACACTTCTAGCAAGAGTCAATTATAACAGATATTCACGATTTATATGTTTGCAGTTTGGCTCTTCATATATTCCTTCATGTAAAGAAATATAAGATATCTGTTCTAGATTTCCCCCTCGTGGAGTTCAGACAATAAAACTTATGTTTCAACAATATCTGTGTACAGGTTGGTGCGCAGAGTGCACTAATGAAGATGCCTCGTGTTCCTCTTCACGGAGGATTCTCTTGGCAGTCGTACCCTGATGAGGCTGCCTCTTACGGTGACACTACATTTACCACAGCCGGGTTGTTGGAGCAGATAAATACCACTAGAGATTCCTCTGATTATCTGTGGTACATAACAGAGTGAGTAACATATACCCATTCAGTCTTTTTTTCATGAATATTTTGTCTGAAGGAAAAACATCTGACAGATTTATTATGAAATATCAATCTTACTCTCTTCCCTTTCCAGTGTTAATATCGATCCCAATGAGGAATTTTTGAGAAGCGGAAAGTATCCTGAACTCACTGTCTTATCAGCTGGCCATGCTTTGCGTGTTTTCATCAATGGTCAACTTGCAGGTATGCAGCATGTTTCTGGTCAAGCAAATTTAACAAAGTGGTCCATTTCCATAATTACTAGCAGTAAACTGCTTGGACTTTGTTAAGTGAAACACTGAAATATAATCTATGTGTTACAACACAGTTTGAAGTATTAGTTTAAATTATAAATTCTATGTTTCACCCTTGAATATACCATAGTCGATGTTATATTTTTTGGAAAGGGCTAATTGATCATTTTGTTATTGATTCCGCCCATAACCTTTTATTGTTGATTTCTTTTCCGCAGGAACTTCTTACGGAAGTCTAGAATTCCCAAAACTAACATTTAGTCAAGGTGTGAATTTGAGAGCTGGTATCAACCAGATTGCACTTCTAAGCATTGCTGTTGGCCTCCCGGTTTGTTCTCTCTCTCACACACACACGTGCGCACACGTACGCACTTGCACACATAGCCGAAGCATTTTGACTGAGTTTGCTGTTATGTGCGTGCAGAATGTTGGTCCACATTTTGAGACTTGGAATGCTGGTGTTCTTGGCCCAGTCATATTAAATGGTCTGAATGAGGGAAGGAGGGACTTGTCATGGCAGAAATGGTCTTACAAGGTATGCTTTTGCTTTTGACCTTGCCTTCTCTTTGTGCACTGACATGTGAAATATTCATTGAATGGTATATCCTCAATCAGGTTGGGCTTAAAGGAGAAGCCCTGAGTCTTCATTCGCTCAGTGGGAGTTCCTCAGTCGAGTGGATTCAGGGGTCATATGTCACAAGAAAGCAGCCTCTGACATGGTTCAAAGTGAGTAGATCAAACTTCAACTAAACCTTATTAATTTGTTAGTTTCCTGAGGTGACAATATATAAAACTTCTGCCCGAGCTTGTGTCAAAACATTACTTATATGTGTCCTTGTCACGATTCTAGACAACCTTCAATGAACCAGCTGGAAATTCACCATTGGCTCTAGATATGATCAGCATGGGCAAAGGTCAAGTATGGATAAATGGCAGAAGTATTGGCCGCTACTGGCCTGCATATACAGCATCTGGTAATTGTGGCGCCTGTAACTATGCTGGGACGTACAATGAGAAAAAATGCTTAAGTAACTGTGGACAGGCTTCCCAGAGATGGTATGTCAAATCAAATAAACTTGATTTCAAGCTCCAGTTATGCTTACGTACAGGTAACTTACAAACTGGTAACTGTTAATAATTTCAGGTATCATGTTCCTCGGTCGTGGCTAAACCCAACAGGCAATTTGTTGGTTGTATTAGAAGAGTGGGGAGGAGATCCGAATGGGATATTTTTGGTGAGAAGGGAAGTAGATAGCATATGTGCTGATATTTATGAGTGGCAACCAAATCTTATGAGTTATCAAATGCAAGCCTCAGGCAAGGTGAAGAAACCGGTAAGGCCTAAAGCCCATTTGTCATGTGGCCCTGGACAGAAAATATCATCAATAAAGTTTGCTAGTTTTGGAACGCCGGAAGGCGCTTGTGGAAGCTTCCGTGAGGGAGCCTGTCATGCCCACAACTCGTATGACGCTTTTCAAAGGGTATTTCACTATCTTGCACAACTAACACCTAGCATTTTCACTCTTTCCTCACCTTTTCGTATCTTGCTTACATGTTAAAGGACTTTACTCTTGCAGAGTTGTATCGGACAGAACTCATGCTCGGTAACTGTAGCACCTGAGAATTTCGGAGGCGATCCATGTCCAAGTGTAATGAAGAAACTCTCCGTGGAGGCCATTTGCAGCTAATGATTCTCAATCTCTCAAGTAAACTGATGAAGGTCCGATATTGATTTATTTACACACACCAATTAAGCAATTTCAATTACTTATATCTGGCTAAGTTAAAAAAGGTCAGTGCAACCCCATTCGGTCAATTCATTTTTCGGCTTTTCCAAGGTGAAGTTGTAGAAACATACAACACACCACTTGGTTGAAAGCCTATACAGTTTGCGATTGATTGTGGAGAAGCTGTAAGTATATACTGTCCTCCGTTTTGATCCACCCTGCTTGCTACGAGAAATGTGGAATCAACGAGGGGATCGGAAGCACATCGAGATGATGCTAATCGAGTCCGTGTGCAAATGTAGTTAGCAGTATGGAAGCATCCGGTTTCCAAGTAATTTAAATATTTCAATTGTTATGTAACTTGGTAAGCAATTATTTCATTGCTTTGTCGTTGTAAGAAAGTTCCCACTGGTAATAATATGTAGTACTTATTTCATCGTTAAACCTCTCTTAGATAAACGGTATCATGATCAAATCTCGACAGCTGCGTTGTTTCTTTGCAAAGTTTACTAACTGTTTTTAAGAGAGCGCACGGCGGGCATATAAATGAATGACATGATGACACAAATTTATACGATGACACAAATCTGCTTTGTCATGCAGCAGATGCTCCCGACTTCAATTTGAATACACAAGCCTATAGGTTATCTCAGTGACAAGAAGTCGATTACTATCCAAATCAAACCGAAAATAGATACCAAAGTTTATAAGAGAAACTCGAGTCGATTTTCCTCTTGGCAAATTCCAGTTGGCAAACTTGGCTATTAAATACACTAATATGCATATGTCCATTCAACGTCGCTTCTTCTTCTACCGGTCAGTTCTATGATTGCAAACAGTACGTTGCAATGACAATCTTATACAGGGAAAAAGGGTTTAGGAAACTACATATAAAGCATCATTGCAGAGATTTGTCTAGGAAAGTCCTAATGCATATAAACTTGCAAGTGAAAGCTTCAACACAGAATGGACAAATGAAATTGTTCGATGAAAGCCTGCTGAAAAAGCATCTGTTATATACAAAATCATCACATTCCCATGAAGTTCATAGGAAATGCTCACACATTGTAATTAGTAATAGGAGCTGTATTGACATTAAAGAAACTGAATAAAGGAAAAACAAATGTGGAAGCAATAAATGATGCCCAAAAAACATAGAAATTTAGAGCATCAACTAGGAAAGTCTGCAAACTCATACATGAAGGCGTATCCAAAAGACGAAAATCATCACAGTCCCTAGAAGATTTCATAGGAAACGCTCACACGTACTGACAGTAAAGAAACTAATGAGACCACTCTAATTGCCCATAATGCACAGCAAACTAATAATCATTCCAAACTGAATTCAAATTATGGAGTCATTCCACTTTGAAACAGAACACAGCTGCATGGAAAACAAAAACAGATATAGAAAACAGAACGAGCAGAAATAGTGACTGAAATAATATCATTATATATTCATGTTGGAAAGCATTGTACAAAAAGGAGTTACATCCTCTTCCAGAACCATGCTGCTGCAAGAATAAACGAATATGTAGTTCGACTGCGTGTAATCCACTAAAGGGGACTAGAAACAAATTGAATGGAAATGAGTGGAAATTGTAACTAACATCTCAAGGAAAACTACGTACAGATATGTACGGGACTGAGAGGCCGAAGAAGAAGAGATTCATCAATTAATGTATCTCTCCTTCCTCCCAATGTCCCCCCAGTGATCTCGCCTTCCTCCCAATCTCCGTTGAGAAAGACGTCCTCGTCGAGACCTTGCAAGTCATATTCTTCATCCTTAATGTGCAAACCCAAGTCCTTGAGAGGAAATCCTTGTAGAATGTTGAGGAAAGGATCTTTGCTGCCACACCCGCACAACTTCTCAAGTTCCCTGAGATAGTGTTTTGAATCATGATCAAACATCACAGACTTTTGCATACTTGAACTCCTACGCCGAGCTGATTTTCTAAGGGCCTCCCTTCTCTTGGTCCTCTGTTCAGGAGGAGTGTCAGGTGGACCTTTTAAGATCTTGTTAGCTTTCGACAATGTATCTGAAAATCGAAGCTTCAGCAACTCAACTCTCCCTTCTCTTGGTCCTCTGCTCTTCTCAGTGATAGTTGCAACTGAATGTCCAGAATGTTCAACAACGAGAGTGGCAATGACAAAGTCATTGTCTTTGCCATCGGTGTTTGCAATTGAATGAACCCCAAAAAGCCCTCGACTATGAATAACCGTAGAAGTAGAAGAAGAAGGAGAACAGGTCTCGGTCTTACCACCATGTATGTGTTTAGGTGAGAAGGTCGGTGAAGACGACAAACCCTTGGCCTTTGGCGGTGGCAGAGGACGATGAACTGAGAATTTGGCCATGGTTTCTTCCCACTTTGTGTTAAAGAGATTACTGAGATGCTGGGCGGCTGCGCGGACATAATTCCCTCGAGGGTAATAGATCATGGCATTCAAGAACACCCGCCTCACATCAGCGGCAAACGAATCGGCGCTGGAGTAGTAACCCTTCTCCAAGTCGGACTTGATAGTACCCAGATCAATCGGCTTCCGGATGACGTAGAGATAATCCGGCAAATTCGACGCCACAGGATCAACGCGCTTCGCAAATTGCTTCCCATGTCCGTGCTGCATCAGAAGCTGCAAGATTTCAGCACAGCAGGCCTTCAATTTGGGGTCCAAGCCCTGCCTCTTTTGCCTCTTCTCGGTCCACCGCCTCTGAAATTCAAAGGGCTCCGATTCCGATTCCATCTGCCCGCGCTTTCTCGCAGACCAAGCCATAAAACCCTAAAACATCAACCGAAAGAAAACCCTATTCACGACCGGCTTCGGTCGATGTTCACCCTCTTGAACGAAAAGCCAAAACCCAGATCACAAAACCCAGAAAGAAAAGCCAACCGAAATCAAGCAAACCCTAGTTTCCAAAATTCCGGAGCGGCCTCGCTCGATCTTTCCACTGGCTGAACGAAAAACCGAAAACCCAGAACCCTAAAAGTCACTGGCTCAGTCGATCGTCGATGCGTTGAGTGGCGATTGCAAAGAGACAGAGAGAGGCAACTGAAAGCGTTCCAGACAGACCCAGACAGAGAAAGAAGTCAGAAAACTCGCTCGCACTCGTTGGTTTTTCTGAGAATTATAGTAAGCAACTCAAGGAAAGGAATGAGAAATTAGGGGTTGCTCTCAAGAAAGGAGGGTAAATATGCTCTTGTGGCGCCAACGGTCCGATATCTTTGTTTTTCAAATCATAAGGTCGGCTGGTCATGCTTTCACTCGCTCACTCACTCACTCCACTCGGCTCGACTCACTACGCGAAAAACATAAATTAAAACATGTTTATTATTTTTACTATTATTAGGGAAGGGGGGGGAGGGAGTGAATGTATTGCGATAATATTGAATGAGGAGTTTCGAAACAGAAAAGCAAGATAGATTCTAAAATTTTATCTATTAAAATAAGCTTTTTAGTTAAAATGGTTTCTAAGATTTTCGTAACATATAATTTTGATTCTTAAGATTTAAAATCCACAGTAGTGGTCCCTAAGATTGTCCATCATCCATTATTTTGGTTATTCCAGTAAAAACCTTCGTTAAGTGGTCTTTGAGCTTTTTAATGGAAAGACCAAAATGATGGATGGTGGACAATCTCAGGGACTAAAGTTATGTATTATGCAAATCTCAGGGACCAAAATTAGGTATTATGCAAATCTCAAGGACCAATGTTATGTGTTGTACCCTCAACTTATAGAGTTTTTTAATGGAATGACCAAAATAATGGATGGTGGACAATCTCAGGGACCACTTTTATTGATTTTAAATCTCAAGGACCAACGTTATGTGTTATACAAATCTAATATACCATTTTGACTAAAAAGCAGCTAAAATATTGGACCGCATGCAAATTGAAATAAAGAAATCAAATCCGATTAGCATTAGGACTTGTAATCTTGTAACTAAGAGCTCGTTTGGATGTGCTTTTAAACTTACTAAAAGAGCTTTTGGTGAAAATAAATTTGGAAACAATACTTAGTAAAAATACTAGTAAATCCTGGAAAAGCACTTAAAGTGCTTCCTAGAAGAAACAAATAACTAGTGTTTCTTGTAGAAAGCACTTACACTGCTTTTAGAACCCAAAAATATTTTCTCTACAAGCTTTTTCAGTCATTTAAAAAGCACAACCAAACGAACCCTAAGTCATATTGCCTTGTACATCCTCGCAGTATGTATTTCCACCTTGCGCTATCATATCAATATAATTATCAAATTTTATTAATTTTTTATCATTCACAAGCGGCAAATCAATATATATTACATGCCAAATTCTACTAAAAGTTTTAGTCATTATTGATGGGAACTTTAACGAAATACTGTTCATTTTAACAAAAAACTACATTTTAATACTAAAATGTCAATCCTGGTACTATTCATTTTATCATTTATTTTGTCTTTATGGTTAAAACTTAAAGTTTTCAATCTATTTTCATTAGTTTTCCCTTTATTGAATAGGGAATAATTATTTTGTTTAAACTCATTTGAAATAACAATCGTGAGTTTTTTCAAATCGACTTGGGTGCCTCTTGTGCAACTGGTCTGATCCTATCTTTCTTCTTCTTCTTCTTCCTTTTTTCTTTTTTTTTTTTTTTTTTTTTTTTTTTTTGTACCGGATAAAAGTTGGAGAGAAATGTGAGAGAGAAAAAGAGATAAAAAACAAAGGTTATTTTATTTTATTTTAAATTAAAGATGCTATGGCGTCATGCGGGGGAAATTTAAATAAAAAAACAAAAAGTTAGTTTGGACAAAATTATATTACTATTCCACAATCTTATTTTGTGATTAAAGATCAGATTGTCTTTGTAGTGAATTAATTTTTTAGATCATATTTACAAATCATATGATGTGTCACTAATATAAAATAAGTGCGTTAATAATAATTCAATCATCAACAAAACATCATATAGTTTACGTAATTATAAAAAATAGATAATATTTCTAACATTATCATTTTAGTAATAGATAATTTAGATATATAGATTATAGGAGCAACTTTTTTTGCTTTTGTTTTTTATATTTGGAAATTACAGTTGTAATAATGATCATTGACAGCGGCGTTTTTCGCGTAGTGAGTGGAGTACTGGAGTGAGTGGAGTGAGCGAGTGAAAGCTACCAGCCGACTTTGTCATTTGAAAACCAAAGAAAGCAGACCGTTGGCGCCACAAAGAGTAGTATAAACCCTAGACCCATTAGAAATTTCTCATTCTTTCCTTGAGTTGCTACCAAAATTCTCAGAAAACCAAGCAGCGATCGACTTCTTTCTGAGTTCTTTCTCTTTGTGTGAAACGATTTCACTTGCCTCCCTCTCTGTCTCTCTGTCTCTCTGTCCCTCTGTCTCTTTGCAATCGCAACGACGACTGAGCCAGTAATTAAGGGACTTCTGGCTTTGGGGTTTTTCAT